TGGATTGAGTGAAAGTTTACAGGGCACATCATCAGTTTCACATTCAACAATTCCTATAACTTGTTTCATTACATTGATTATAATCCCCTCCATATACCATCATTTAAAAGTATTTCTCTCTATCCACTTTAGCTTTTTTCATGCAGACACTTTTAAAGAGAAATATTTCGTGGGGGAAAGGGGCTCAGAAGTAAGAAATCATTTTAATGGGTAGTTTAAATAGATATAAACTGTGTGATTTCTTGAAGATGGGCTATGTGCTCACTCACACACACGCACAAATTAGTTTAGTGGTTACGAACCGGGCTGTGAACCTCAAGGTCGGCAGTTCAAAACTGCCAGCTGTTCCGCCGGAGAAAGATGAGGCTTTGTACTCCCGTAAAGATTTACAGCCTCGGAAACCCTGTCACTGTGAGTTGGAACCGACTCCACGGCACATATCCACCACCACCACCATGATCAGATTGCTTAAGTGTAACCTGTCTTCTAAAACTGCTTTTGTATTTTTGAAGTGATACTGCATCTCTTCTTACTGCCTGACCCTTCAAGCCTATGAGGTCAAGTCACAGGTCCCAAGAAGAAGGGAAATGGTTGAATGAAGCATGAGAAGTGAAATGATTTTATCCAGGTCCTACAGTTAGAAGTTGAATTAGGATTTAAGATGAAAAGGGATTACTTTTTGAACTGTGCTTTAAAATGAAGGTTAATGAAAGTGGTGTTTGGTTTTATTTTCATTTGTATTAAAATATTTGCTTATATCTTTTGAAAAGTGAGGACACTGATTTCCTCATTTCAAGTGAAATCAGTTTTTAAGACTTCAAGAAGACCTTCTTATGATTTCCTACTTCTGGTTGTATTATAAGTCATAGAACAGGGATTATAGTTGTGCCAGTCAACTAAAGGGCTATTTTCTCCCATTATTTCTGTTCACTGGAAACTTTTCTGGAAATAAACCAGAGTTCTTGTTACTGTTTAGGGGCATCAAGTTGTTTCCAACTCATAGTGACCCTGTAAAGGCTTTCTAGGGAGCAGCTGGTGAGTTTGAACCAGCGACCATTTGGTTTTAATCAACTTTGTGACTCAGTGCTCATCCTACAGCACCAAACCTGAGTAGCTATCGAATCCTTACATTTCAATGTAAATTTATCACCTCAAGTATATTCTAACCTCACTTGTCTGTTTAGGTATTGTTCCTGGTGTGTTTTTGGTTTGTTTCCTTTACTGTTAGCTGCTTAGCTTAGATATTCACTAAGTTCCCAATTACTAATAACATGATTCTTAGGTACTTACTTCCCAGGGATGTTACAACCTCATCTATACTTTCATGTACCCACCTCAGCTCTGTGGATGGGGAGATGGAGGTTTGTGGCAAACTGTGTCTTTTAATATTATTAGTTATTGAGAAGTCCTGGTTGGCACTTGTAGGAAAACCACTGGACTGTTGAACAACAAGGTTGACAGTTCATACTCTCCAGCCACTCCTTTGAAATTCTAGATAGCGTTGCTATGAGTCAGAGACTCTATGGCACCTAACAAGAATAAATTAGTTACCGACCATATACTTCTTGCGAACCTAGTTACAAAATAGTAGTCTTGAAGGAAACTCTCATCTCATTTTCCACTCCCCAGAGACAATGATTTCAGTTTTGATGGTATTTTAGGTTGCTTACCACGTTTACCTAAACAGGTACATCATTTTTCTTGAATAAGTCCTTTATTTTCTCTCCTTGATTTGTCCCAAGTTTTATTTCAACCACATATTTTCTCTTGGTATAAACTGACTATATATGAACTTTTTTTTGGTTGTTGTTGTTAGTATTTAAACTTCCTGGGAGATTTTCTCATATTTTCTGTTGGCTTTCATGTTTTTAAAGGAGCCCTGGTGGCACTGTAGGCTAAGCTTTGGACTGTTAACTTGTAAGGTTGGCAGTTCAAGCCCACCAGTTGCTCTGCAGGAGAAAGATGAAGCTGTCTGTTCCTCAAAGATTTGCAGTCTTGGAAGCCTTATGGTTCAGTTCTGCTCCGTCCTATACAGGGTGGCTATGAGTCGGAGTCGAATTGATGACAGTGAGTTTGGTTATTTTGGTGTCATGCTGTTAATTTTTAAGAGGTCTTTCTCATCCTCTGGATTTTCTTATGCCACCATTCAGTACTTGTTTCATAAGTGCACTGTAGGATAAGCACTGGATTGCTAACCACAAGGTTCAAGCTCAACAGCTCCTCGGAAACCCTCGCAGCATTATACTGGCATTCTATACATCACTATATTTGAGTATTTTTTTCAACCAATCCACTGCCAGTGTTTTAGGAGTCAAGTAGGAAAAGAAAACTGAATGTCCCAACAGTTTGTGTGTGAAATGTGTGCTTAATCCTCTTCTCTCAACTGTACCTAGTATCCCCAGAGACCCTCTGTTTTACCTTTTTTAGGAAAGAAGCTTCTAGTTTTCTGATTGATGGTATGTGGAGGGCAGGGAGGAGGAGGTGTGTAGACCGCTCCCCTACTGTGCAGAATGAGGAAGGAATGGATGCAGAGGCTCTAATTGTTTTTTAAACTGACTCTGAAACAGTATTCCGATTTTTAGTCCCACTTTCAGAGATACTTGAGGCCACCAATTCAGAGTTCTCTGGTATTTATTCTCATATCTGGGTTTATTCTCATCTTTCTGCACTAGAGGCATAGAATCCACTTTCTTGGATCTGCTAAGTATTATAGCACTCACCCATCTGCATTAAAGCTTTCAAAACTGTTCTTGTCTCTTTAGCTTCCTTTGTTAATCTCATACTAGTGGGATATAGAGAGAAAGCAGTCTTATGTGTGTATTCAGTAGTATCTTTACTAGATAAAGTCTGGACATTTGACTTAAAAAAATCTTATTTGTCAAGAGAAAGACTAGTTTTCACAGAGGATTTGAAGAATTTGCATTATTCATAATCATGAATGAAAAATTATTTTGATGTTGAGTTGATTTCTCTCATCTTCTAGGTCTTTCTATCTCTTCTGAGCGTCGTTCTCAAAGACTTAGAACACCTAAATCTGTCAGCAAAACTATGTCTCAGAGTAGGGCTGAGATGAACCTTCTAAGGCAAACTACGGCACCAGAAAATCATGCTCTTCAGAGTACCAGAAGTGAACAACAAAGTGTTGATAAGATTTTGTTTTCAAATACTCCTGACAACAGGTATTTATTTAACAAGTTGATAAGACTTTAACTGTATGCTGACTTTAAGTACTATTTCAAAAAATGTTCAGCTGGTAAGATGTGCCAGATATATCTGAGGAGGCTTCTAACAGTTCGTGATAAATAGAATGAAAAGATAAAGCAAGTTTTCCATGAACTTTTTGAAAACCCCTCGTATACATAATAATATTTTTGAGCATTTTATTGTGCTTAATTGTACAATTCATTGACATTAATTAGCATTCATCTTGTGTACAACCATCACTACTTCTTGTTGTTGTTACATGCCGTCAAATTAAAGTGACACCCTGTATAGTGTTTCCAAGGAGTACCATGTGGGTTTGAAGCAACCACCTTTTGCTTTGCAGTTCAGCACTTATCCCACAGCACTACAGCAGAACCACATGTGTGAAAACAATAGCTCCCCATTTCCTCTTCCTACATGACCCTGTTGATCTTGTTGTTAGGTGCTGTGGAGCCAAATCTGACTCAGCTTACCCTGTGCACAACAATATGAAACATTGTCCATTCCTGCACCCTCCTTACAGTTGTATTTGAATCTGTTGTTGGCTTCTAGTGTGTCAATAAATTTTGTGAGGGGTCTTCCTCTTTTTCATTGACTCTCCACTGAACTAAGTACGATGTCTTCTTGTGCTGGTCCCTCCTGCCAAGATAAACAAAGAACAAGAGACCAAGACTTACTGCTGTGCTCCTTCCAAGACAGATATATTTTTTTCTTTTGCCAGTCCATGGTGCTTTCTCCAACACCATAAGTCAAATATGTCAACATTTGTTAACATGTGTCTGCCCTCTAGCCTGTGAATAATTCCCTGCTCCCAGTAACCATCCTAGAATGTTTCTTTTATCAAGAAAGCATTTTCTTAACTTTTTACAACAGTGGTCTCATACAATATGTGTCCTTTTGTGATTGTGATTTCACTCAGCATCCTCCAAGTTCATCCATATTGTGAAGTGTTTTATAGGTTCATATGTATTCATTAACATTTTGTAGTATTCCATTGTGAGTATGTATCAAAGTTTGTTTAATCATTCTTCTGCTGATGGGCATTTAGGCTGTCTCCATCTTTTTGCTATTTGCTCCATGTTTTTGCAATGAACATGGGTGTGCATTTTATTTATTCATGTCACGGCTTTTATTTCTTAAGGATATATACCAAATAGAGGGATTGCTGGGTCATAAGGTATTTCTATTTCCAACTTTTTGAAAAAGCATCATGCTGTTTTCCATAGTGGTTGCACCATTTTACAGTCCCACTAGCAGTGTTGGAAGGTCCCAGTCTGTCCATGTCCTCACCAGCATATTTGTTGTTTTCTGTTTTATTGAACTCTGCTATTAATGCTAGAGTAAGCTGAAGTCCTAGTGTGGGAAGCAACAAACTTCTAGCCACAAGGTCAATGGTTCAAACCTGTCAGCCCCCCACTCCTCAGAACCCCTGTGTAGGGTTGCTATGAGTCGGAACTGACTCAACAGTACTTAACAACAAGATGCTATCTGGCTCCATACAATAAGTACTGGACTGCAAACCACAGTTCCGCGGTTTGAGCCTACCAGTCGTCCCCCAGAAAAAAAAATGAGGTTTCTTGGTCCTGCAAAGATTTTTAAAGCCTCAGAAGCCCTATACAGAGTCACTAAGAGTCTGAACCCACATAACTGAACTTGACAGCAAGAAGATAATATCTCATTGTTGTTTTGATTGCATCTCTCTAATGACCAAGGCTCAAGGCTCATGAGCATTTCTTCTAATATTTGTTGGCCACACCTAAATACCTTCTTTGGTTCATGTCCTCTGCCCATTTTTTAATTGGATTAAGACTATTCAACAGGTACAACAACAAATAAACTTTGGAAAGTCCTCCTTTGTCTGATAGGTTGTTGCCAAACATTTTTCCAACTCTGTGGGCTCTCCTTTTACTCTTTTGGTGAAATCCTTTGATGCACATAAGTGTCTTAATTTTTAGGAGTCCTTGTCACCTGTTTTGTCTTCTGCTTGTGTGTTGTCAATTATGTTTGATACTATTTACCATGTGCCAGGGCCCTATGTCCCTATTTTTTCAAGTTCTGGGCTTTATTTTTAGATATTTAATCCATGTTGAGTTCATTTTTGTAAATGGTGTGAGACATGGATCTTGTTTCATTTTTTTGTAGATGGAATTCCAATTTTGTCAGTCCATTTGTTGAAGTGACTACCTCTTCCCCATTTAATGAACTTTGGCACTTTGTCTTGTCTATGATGTGTTACATCGTTGAATTCTATTGGCTATGATTTTGTTGAGAATTTTTGGATCTATGTTCATGAGAGATACTGATCTTTTTTAGTGCTGTCTTTTCCTAATTTCCTAATTTTGGTATTGAGTTATGCTTTCTTCATAAAATGAATTTCAGAGTTTTCCATCCTTTTCTATATTCTGTAATACATTGACTAGAATGGTATCAGTTACTCTCTGAACGTTCAGTAGAATTCGCCAGTATAGCCAAATGGGCCTGAACTTTTTTTGTTGTTGGGAGGCTTTGGTTTTGTTTTTAAATGATTTGATCAATTTCTTATCTTGTTAAGTGTCAGTTGAGTCAATTCTGAATCATAAAATTACTGTAAATAGGGTTTCCAAGGAGTGGCTGGTTGGTTTGAACCGCCAACCTTGTGGTTAGCTGTCACGTTCTTAACTTACAGCATCACACCAGGACTCCTCTCTTGTTATAGGCTGCTTCAAGTTTTGTAAAGTCTGTGTTAGTTAGGTAAGCTGTTTTTAGAAATTTGTCCCAACCGCATGGCTCCAAGTTTCGAAAAATAGGTTTGACCCTGGGAGTGCCTGAGGGTGGGAGCTGGTCCCACCTATGGTCTCCAGGGGAGCATGGGGAAAAAGAAGGAATCACACTTTTCCTGTCACCTGTGTGAATCTGCCCTGCCAGGCCACTTTCTGTCTCCATAGCTACTCAATACAGTTGAGCTGAGTGGTCGGCCATTCACCAGTTAGTCTCCCTCTCTTGTCATCTGCTGCTCATCTTCTAGTAAGCACTCAAGCCATTTCTCTAACCTTTCCTCTGAAGTTCAGCCTCCCAGGATTTTCATCTGTGTCTGTTTCATTTTGTGTTGCCTGTCTTTTGTAGAGGGTCTGTGTAGTGTGACTGTATAGTCCACTCTCTTGCCGGGAATCCCATGTGATAATTCTTGAAATGATGGAACATCAACCAGTTCTTTTGGGTACAGTGACTCTGTAGTCCTTCCATCTTTACTGATGCTTTTTACATCATTCAGTATTTTCTCCATAGAATCCTTCAATATTGCAAGTGAAGACTTCAAGTGTTTTCTTCCATTCTTTCGGCTTGAGAAATGCTGAGCATGTTCCCTTTTGGTTTTCTGTCTCCAGGTCTTTGCACATTTTATTATCATACTTCACTTTGTCTTCTCAAACTGCCCTTTGAAATTTTCTGTCCAGCTCTTTTACTTCAGCATTTCTTCCAATCATTCTAGCTTCTCTACGTTCAAGGGCAAGTTTCAGAGTCTTTTCTGACATCCATTTTGATATTTTCTTTTTCCTGTCTTTTTAATGACCTTTAATGATGTTCTTGATGTCATCCCACAACTCTCTGGCTTTCAGTCATTAGTGTCTAATGCATCAAATCTGTTCTCAAATTGGCATCTAAATTCATGTGGGATATACTCAAGGTCGTATTTTAGCTCTTATAGATTTATTTTCATTTTCTTCAGTTTTTTCCTGAACTTACACATGACCAATTGATGGTCTTTTCTATAGTCAACTCCTGGCATAGTCTTCACTGATGATCTTGAGCTTCTCCATTGTCTCTTGCCACAGATATAGTCAATTTGCTTTCTATGTATTCCATTTGATAAGGTCCACATGTATAGTCACTATTTGTGTTGTTAGGGGGAAAAATAGGAATATAGTCTAGCGAATTTCTATCATGCTATCTCCAACATCATTTCTATCACCAAGGCTATAGTTTTCAACTACTAATTCTCCTTTGTTTCCAACGTTCACAATCTAATCACAAGTAATTGTGAATGCATTTGACTGCATGTTTGATCAATTTCAGACTGAAGAAATTGGCAGAATTCTTCAATTTCATCACTGGCTCTAGTGGTTTGAGCATAAATTTAATGCTAGTGGTAATAATTGGTCTTAATTGTAGGCAAATGGATATTCTATCACACACAGCATTATACTTAAAGATAGATCTTAAAACACACTTTTTAATAAATGTGACACCATTCTGATTCCGAATGGCCAATGTTAGTCCATTTTAATTCACTCATGCGTGTTTATGTGTTCCATTTAATTTTTAAAGACTTACAATTTTCCTGGATTCATACTTTGTACATTCCACATATCAATTATTAATTGATCTCTGCAGCTATTTATTCCCATTTTGAATTGTGCCCATTTTGAGAAGGTCTCAAAATCTACTTTGAGCGGGCTGCTCTTTCCCAGTCATACTTTAATTGCCTTCCAACCTGAAGGGTTCATCTTCTGCAATGTATCTGACAATGTTCTGGTGTTAATCATCGGATTTCAGTGGGTAATTATTCAGAAGCAGTCTACTACTCCTTCCTACTCTTTCTTGGTATAGAATAAGTGGGATTACACAATACTGATAAAAATTTTTAATTGAATTTAAGTGACTCTAGTCCTGGTCTGGCACTGTGGGTTAATGCACCAGACTGCAAAGCTGTTTGAACTGCAAGGTTGGTGGTTCAAGCTCACCAGTCCACTATGGGTCAGAGTCAACTCAACAGCACTTAACAACAATAATAACAATGCTTAAGCAACACTTCCGTTTTATAAATAAGAAAGCAGAGGCTTGATTTTTCTGGTTGATAAATCATTCCATTTAGAAAGGCAAAGTAAATTCTGCAGAATTATGAGGAAAATAAGTAACATGGTGTTCGTTGGTATTAAATGTTCTTAAGTGTCATCGAGTTGGTTCTGTACCATAACAACCCTGTATAGGGTTTCTGAGGAGCAGCTGGTGAGCTTGAACTGCTGACTTTGCAGTTCAAACCTACTTTGCTGTTCAGCAGTCCAGCACATGAGCCACAGCACCACACCAGGACTCCTTGGTATTAAATAGACTTTAGCTTGCATTTTTTGAGAGAACTGAACTAAAACCCAGCTCTGTAAGTCATTAGCTACGAAACTTTGAGTCAAGTTAGTTCTCTTAGCCTCTGCTGTAGCGGGAATGTAGGTAGGCGGCTTTAACAAACAAACTTGCTCTCACACAGTTTGGGCGGCTAGAAGTCTGAGAAGGGCGCCAGCTATAGGGGAAGGCATGTGCTGTTGGGTGACTCATGGGTGATCTTCATGTGATACGGCATGATTTCCCCCTCCTTTCTCTGTTTCCTCACTTGCTTGTTTGATCTCTTTTTTATCTCATAAGAGATTGACTTAATACGCACCCTACACAGATCCTGCCTCATTAGCCTAACAAAGAGCCCATTCCCAGATAGGGTTATAACCATAGACATAGGGTTATGACTTATAGCACATATTTTGGGGGAGACATAATTCACTTCTTAACAGCTTTCATGTCATCATCTATAAAACAACAATGCTGATGCCTCCTTTACAGGTCTTGTACCAACCTTTATAGAAAGTACCTTGAGAATAGGTCTTGGTAACTGGCAGAGTATAGAGAAGGAGGAGCTAATATGCACTAAATAACTATTCTGGGCTAGACATAAATCCAAGTCCTGAACACGTATCATTTCACTTAATCCACACAACTTTGTGTGGTAGGTATTAATTGCTCATTTTTCAATTGAGAAATGTGAGGTTTAAAGTTAGTTGTTGTTAGATTGTGTTCAAGGTGGTTCTGATTCATAGTGACCCCATGTACAACAGAATGAAACATCACCCAGACCTGCACCAACCTTCCTAACCTCACAAATACGATTCTGTTTGAGCCCATTGTTGCAGCCACTGTGTCAATCCATCTTGCTGAGGGTCTTCCTCTTATTCACTGACCCTCTAGATTATCAAGCATGATGTCCTTTTCCAGGAATTGGTCCTGATAACATGTCCAAAGTATGTGAGATGTGAGAAGTACTGCCAGAACGTTCTTAAAAGTAAAGATGAGAAGACTTTGTCTCATGTACTTTGGATGTGTGTTAGTTAGTAACTTAGCCCAAACCAGAACACCAAACCTGTTGTCATCAAGTCAACTCCAACTTAGGTGATCCCGTGGTTACAATAGAGCTGAGCTCCATATAGGGTTTTGTTGGCTTTTATCTTTATGAAAACAGAGCTTGTAATTGTTGAAACTGGATGCTGCCTTCATTCTTTCTACCACACAGTACTGCCTCCACACAAATGCATCAAAGTTACCTATATAGCTTCTGTTTATGGAAAATAAATACATTGAAAATAGGATAAGAAAAACGCTTTAAGAGTAAAGAGTAAAATAAAAGAATAGTCTGGAGCCAAGCCAAGCCTACTGGACACATAAATCTGGAGATGGAACAGCATGTAACTGTATAGCAAACTCTAGTTATAAAATAATTGAGTTGTTGCTTACACCTCCCACAGATGGTAACTTCATCCTGACCTTTTCCTAATGTGTGACACTGAATTTGGCTGAGATTCAACGTATTGCTGGTGGATGTATGTTAGCTTGACTAATCAGCATAATAACAAGCTTATGGACTCTCTATAGAAGAGAGCTTTCAGTTTGTAAGGGCATAAATCCAAAACCAGTCTCTTTGAATCAGGCCTGATTTTGAATCACATTCTATCTTTGATCCATTTCTACCAGTTACATAAAGGAGTGGCTCAAAACACAAATGAAAGATAAAAATATGCTCAATATAGTAATATAATGTTGCTTTTTTTCTTGTTAAGAAACAGCATGGTAGAAGATGCCCAGTGTCCAGGATTACAGCATTTAATTGAAGTAAACCATGTGAGTCCTATTCCAGTGCACTTGATAAACCTCCGTTATATCATTAGATATAGTAACTCCATTTACAACAGCCAGCAGTTGTAATTTGAGGTCTAAATTAGTCAATACAGAATAACAGTTCTTATTTAACAAAAGCTTTTGGCTTGTTTGAAACCTTTATACCATCTTTTATTCCTTGCCTCGGATCCATATGACTATGGAGTCAGTGAACTAGAGCTGGGGCAGACTGTCTACAGCCCCTAGTATTGTAAATAAAGTTTTATTGGAATGCAACCATGCTTATTTACATATTGTCTCCTACTGCTTTTGAGATTACAGGGTAGAATTGAGTAGTAATGTGTTACCAACCTCTGATCCTGGCTGAGAAACTGTAAGCCATATTATTTCTGTCATATTATTTGAACTAATTGTTCAGGAAGCAATATAGGATTTACAATGTTCTTTATCCTGTGCTCATAATGTCAGCCGATTTTTACTTTTAATAGTAATAAGAGGTTTTCTATTTGTTCCAATTTTGAATAATTAAATATAATCCTAATCTTTACTTTTAGGATGCAGATAAGATAAACTTTGAGATGGATTGTTTACCCACTGAAAGAATGAACTTGCCTCTAGTTGCTGGCAAAGTGGCAGACAATATTAATATTAAAAAAATAGACGACATTTCAGATGTCGTGGAAGGAATGGAACTGAATTCTTTCGTTATAACGCAAGATGCTATGATGAGTAGCCCTGAAAAATATATAACATCACAAAGTAACTTCTCACAGGAAGAAGAAACCAAAATTTCCGTATGTCCATCAGGTGAGATCTTTATCTTTAAATGTGGATTTCTTTAATAAATGAATTTGATCTATGGAGCCTTGTAAGTACTTCAGAGTACTAACAAAGAATGAAGAATTGGACACCCACAGTAAACATCTTAGAAGAATTAGTTCATGTTGTAGCACTCCACACTACACCCATTTCTCTTGAGGGACAGCTAATAGAATTTCAGTAAAGATACTAATCCAAGTTGCATGTAAGGATATTGTTAGTTGTCATCAATTCAATTCTGACTCATGACAACCCTACGTGTTCAGCTAAAACCTTTCGCCAAGCGTGTCTTCTGAGTCCCCTTTGGGTGGGTAGGATCCACCCACCTTTGGCTAGTAAGTTGAGTGTTTAACCTTTTGCACATCCCAAGGTATATGTTTTACATTATTTTTAAGTATTTGGGATCCCTTCCTGTTGATCAAGATTCAGAATTTATATAGCTTTTTTTAAGATACACAGACCTTTCTTCAAAATTCTGTTTCATTTCCCTAATGCCAATTCCTACTGTTGTGTTATGATTGTTCTGCAGTAGGAAACAGCTCTTTATTTTTGTGCACAATTTCACCTGTAATTTTCATCTTGTCTTCTATGGTATTGGTCTCTGGGGCCTACGGTAAAATAAAAAAACATAACCGTGGCCTGTAAGACCAGAAGAGTTGTGAGATAATATCAAGAACACCATACAGGAAGAAAGCAAAAGGTCATTAAAAAGACAAGAAAGAAAGAAAACTGGACATCAGAAGAGACTCTGAAATTGGTCTTTAACATAGAGAAGCCAATGCAAATAGAAGAAATGAGGAAGTTAAGAGCCGAACAGAAAATTTCAAAGGGCACCTTGAGATGACAAGTGTTAAAATGAAATGTGTAAAGACCTAGAGTTAGAGAACCAAAAGGAAAGAACACACTCAGCATTTCTCAAGCTGAAAAAACTGGAAAAAAAAAACATTCAAGCCTCAAGTTGCAATATTGAAGGATTCTATGGGCAAAATATTGAATAATGCAGAAAGCATCAAAACAAGATGGAAGGAAATAGAGTCACTGTACCAAATATAAATGGTCCATACTCATACTCATCCGTTTCAAGAGATGTCATATGATTAAGAACCAATGATTTTTAAGAAGTCCAAGTTGCACTGAAGTCATTGGTGTAAAACAAGTCTCCAGGAATCAGTGAAATAAAAATGTAAATCTTGCAACAAACAGATGCAGCACTGGAGGCACTCATTCATCTATACCCAGAAATTTACAAGACAGCTCTTTGATCAACCAGTTGGAAGAGATCTACACCTGTGCCCATTACAAAGAGAGGTGATCCAATGGAATGTGAAACTCATCTAACAATATCATTAATATCACATGCATGTAAAATTTGCTGAAGATAATTTTTAACGGGTTGCAACAGTAATATACACCGACAGGAAACTGTCAAAAATTCAAGCCAGATTCAGAAGAGAACATGGAACTAGGGATATTATTGTGGATGTTAGTTGGATCATGGTTGAAAGCAGAGAATACCAGAAAGCAGTTTGTGTTTATTGACTATACAAAGATTTTGTACTGTGTGGATCATGACATGCTTTAGATAACATTGTGAAAAGTGGATATTCTGGAACACTTAATTGTGCTCATGTGGAACTTGTGCATAGACTAATAGGCAAGGGGATATGGAATGGCTTAAAACCAGAAAAGGTGTGCACCAGGGCTGTATTCCACTGAGCAGATAATCCAAAAAGTGGAGCATATGAAGGAAAATGTGGTATCAGGATTGGACGACTCTGCAACAACCTGTGATTATACACATGATGTAATCTTGCTTGCTGGAAGCAAAGAGGGCTTAAAATACCTTTAATGATGAAGATTAAAAACTTCAGTATAAATTACATCTCAAGTTCAAGGAAAAAAAAAATCCTCACTACTGGACCAATTAATAACATCATAATAAATGGAGAAAAGATCAAACTTGCCAAACACTCCGTTTTGCTTGGATCCACAATCAACACTCATGAAAACCGCAGTCAAGAAATCAAAGCCAAATTGGCCTCTCAAGACCACTTTTAAGTGTTTAAAAGCAAAGTTGTCAGTTTAAGGATTAAGGTGTGCCTGACCCAAGCCCCAAGCCTATGGTATTTTCATTGGCTTCGTATGCATGTGAAAGTTGGACAGTGAATAAGGCAGGCCATAGAAAAATCAATGTATTTGAATTACGATGTTGGAGAAAAAATTAGAAAGTACCATGAACTGTCAGCAAAAAAAATTTGTGTTTGGAGAAGCACAGCCAGTATGCTTCTTAGAAGCCAGGATGGTGAGACTGTTTCTCGTACTTTGGACACGTGTGTAGGGTTGTTATGAGTCAGAACCAACTTGACAACACCTAACAACAACAACTTTGACCTGTCCTTCACCTGTGTTTTTCACCTAGCATTTTTGTAAGTATCTCTAACATAACAAGCATGAGATTGGTGTAGAGAATACTCTTTTAATACTTAAAAATAAGAATTAGTAAGGAATTTAACTACATTTAAAAAATGTTACAGTATAGCCTTGGAGAGGGAAACAAAAGGTCATTGCCATCACCTTGACTGACTCACCATTTAGGACAGAGTCGAACTGTCCATGTTTAGGGTGTCCATGGTTGTAAATATTTATGGAAATTGGCTGCCGTATTTGTCTTCCACTTAGCACATGGTGGGTTTGCAGTGCCGACCTGCTGTGCCTTGAGCTCTCCTTTGTAGCCTAAAGTGAGTCCTGTTTGCATCTTAGCATTTGATGTGCGGAACCTCTGCTGTAACCATTATGTTTTTGTTTTTCAGTACTGTTTGATAATAAAATTCTCACTGCTGAATGTCATCTTCTTGATTCAGTAAGTCTCCAAATAATTTTCTTTATAGCCCAGGCTTCTTTTAGAGAATGAATATTACTCACTTTTACATTTGTGGATGGTGTTTCTTGCCATTATGTTGCTTGCTCTGAAATCTGATTATTCATTTTTCAAGATAGGCAAACCCTTCTATGTGTATATACTTTTAAATACTACATGGTTTAACATTAAACCCTGAAGATTCATTTCCATGTATGATTTATGTGTCAAGTTTGTGACTGCAGTTTGGTTGACTGCCTCAGATATCTAGTATGTGGTTTATTGACTGAAGGGGGAGGCAAGGGGCCAGGGTGGAAGGATCCCAACAGGATCACACTCTAGTGAAATGCCTGTGCCTATTTAGTGCTGTTAAATGGATGATGTTGTTGTTAAGTGCCGTTGACTTATAAAGACCCTGTATAGGGCTTCTAAGGACTAACCCATGAGTTTTAACCACCAATCTTGCAGTTCAAACGAACCTTGCGGTCCAACACATCCCGCAGCACCACACCAGAACTCCCAGTGAATAATAGTGAATAGAATATGCATAAACTGCCTGTGTCCACTTTTGTATTACTAATCACCTCTTTTTAAGCATGTATTCCTAATAAACTTTTCAATTAAAAAAAAAAAAAAAACTATGTATTTTAAACGTATCTCTTGCAAAGTGGTATGATTATTTTTAATGGATTTGTTAATTCATGTTGTACTATTATAAAAAGTTGTTTACTTTATTAATGAACTCACTAGTAACTAGCAATGTTAAAGACTTAATTAGTGAAACTCTTAACGGTTATTTTAATTTTCCTACTCTAGCCAGACTCAAATGGCAGTAACCCGTTGACTCAGCTGGAGAGGAGACATCAAGAACATGCCCGGCACATTTCCTTTGGTGGTAATCTGATTGCCTTTTCACCTCTAAGGCCCCTCAGTAGAGGACAACCAGAAGAAGTTTGAATTTAAAAGTAAATCCAGAATTTTTTTCTTCATACTACCAATGGCTGTGATACAGTCTTAGGAATATTGAAAATTTGAAGAGTATGAATTTGTGTTTACGTCTGTTCAATCCATTTATATATTGTCACGTGATGTTCTAATATTCTTTCGTGTTTGTCAAAGTATCTTAGATATACTATTTCTCAAGGGATGTTGGAATATTTTGTACATTACTATCCACATAGAATTTAAGCTTAAAGCTAAATGTATTTGCTTAGAACTAATGGGGCATTCTTAATCAAAATGTAAAACTAGATGTTGAACTATGTTAATCTTTTTAAATCATATTCTTAAACTCTTATATCTGTTAATGTTGAACAGTTTCACACGTTGTATTTCCCATTGTGTATTGCATTTCTTTAGTGGATCTTTCCATATTCTGAAGTTAGTTTATTTACTAGTTTCAGATTACTAATTGATTAAAGGTGGCCATTATTCTCTTTTTGTTTCTTAATATACTTTCTTTTGGGGAGCAGTTTTATGTTTATAGGAATAGTGCTTTAGACAGTGCAGAGTTCTCATAAATTCTTTCCCCTTGCTGTTTCTCCTTTTATTTGTATCTTATATTAATGTGGTACACCTTTTTTCATTTTCTCTGACATGATTGATGAAATTCTCTTCAAGAGGGTATTTCTGTCAGTCACTTAATGTACTTGAAATAGTTTCTCTTTCAAAACTCTAAACTGCAGGGTTTGATACTCTAAACCCAGAGTATATGGGTCCAGTGATTTCTTAAAATGAGCCAAGGGTTAAAGGCATTCACCAAATAAGCAGATATTTTGTGGACAGCACCAATAAGAGTGGGGCTTTTCAAATAAAAGAAAAATCCTGTACATTTCTTGTCAAAGGAAGATGTATTAGACTTGTGGGAAAGATGGCATTTCTCACTAAGTCTATATGGGTTATGGAGAAACTAGATAAAGTGCTGTCTGAGAAGAAGGTGCTCAGAATGCCTCGTCTTAATGGAAGGTAAAAGCAGCTTTAATAGCCCATTGATGAATCATTCAGGTGAACACAGAAACATATATAAAGAATAGGGCTTTCTAAGGGTCCAAGACCATGAATTACTGAAATAGTTTGCTGTAAAATAAGCCAAGACTTACAATTACATAACTGCTTAGGTAGAATAGTCTTTCCAAAATAGGAAGAAAAGCAATATCCATTTATTTAGGGCTTACTATTTGGTGAGCCCTCTGCAAACAGTATTTCATTTAATAATTACAGAGATCTAATAAGAGATATATTATACTACCCATTTTATAGACAAAGAAACCAAAGAGAATTTTTGTACGTAGTTTTACGCAAGGTCAAATTCCTAGAAAATAGGATGTAAGCCAAGTTCTCTTGTCTCCAGAGCTTGTTTTCTCTGTGATCACATGAGTAAAAAGAGTTGAGAGACCAGAATGTTAGGGTAAGAAATACTGTATTTTTGAAATGTACTGTTATGTGCTGCCCAGCTCCTTCTTTAGGACTGAAGGACTTACTCCCTCAGATTCTGTCATCCCATATTAAGAACTGCCTCAGCCTGAGAGCCACCTTACCCAAGGTTACACTCTGTCCCTTGGGAAGTGGATTCAGTGACTAAGAGAGCTGCTGATACCCATCCCACGACAGCTCTGCAGGGTCATGCCAGCTTCATCCCCAGGGCAGGGTAGGCTGAGGTCTCACTGCTCAGCTACCCGCTGCCCAGTCCTGTACTGTCTGCTCCTACAGGTGGAGATTGCAAACACTCCCTCTTACAGAACAAACCCAATCTGTGACAACTGGCAGTTTAACATATTTGAGAAGAAGGCATTATAGAAACAATAATAGAAAATACAATATTCCAGTCTTTTATCAAATGAAGTGGTGTGACCACTCCTAGTTTTGACATTTTATTAACCTTTAAGATTGCTGGTAATAAGGCCAGAAAGATGCTCTAAGCATTTTGACAAATAAGAACAATTAAATTTTTGAAGCTGACTTAAAAATAAGTTACTTGAGTTTTATCTGTACATCTTGAGATTTCATAAAAACCCAAAAGAATCATAATAGTATCAAATGTTCATTTGAAAGCAATGAAACAGTTTAGAGAAAAAATAGAATTTAAAACGATGAAAAGAAAAATACCAGAATGCTAACAATAATTGTCTATTGATCATGAGTCATCTGTGAATCATGTTTTTTTTTTTTTTTTTACTCTTCTCATTTACTGACAATATAACACTTCATTAAACAAGAACATGAGAGTGATCTCCCTAAAGCATCTTTTGGTTTTTATAAAACTCTAAAAGAGCAGGGATCATTTGAAAGTAGCATTTACTCTTACTCCCTTCTTTCAAAAAATAACTTGAATAAGAATAGAAAGTCTAGGGAGGCTCTAGGATGCACTATTAATACTGCTACATATTCTTCTCCATTGAGCCCATTGCAGTATCCAAAATCAGCTGCTCCACTTAAATGACAAATCAAGATAGACAACTCTTAGAATAAGAATATTTATTTAATGGATGATTTACAAGATGAATACTCAAAGCTAAACTTAAAATTTTCTACTCCTAGTGAACATGAAGCTTTTAAATGGGTGGGGTTGACATTCAAATTTTTTTTTTTCAAAAAAGTATCTGCCCCTTTAAGATTATATCATAGCATGTGTAGCACTGGTGAGGTCTATGTCACCAGAAATGCCCAGCTTGGTGATCTCATTGAGATTTTTCATCCGGTGGTTGTACTGCAACAAATGAGAATCATTGACGGCAACCTTGTAGTGGTCAGCTTCAGCCAGCACTTGAATCTGCAATGGCACGTACACAGGACTGTTAGAAATTCCCGTTTGTTTCAAAGCTACTCTAAAGCTTCAGATATGCAACATCTCATCTTTATAATCATTTATGGAACTGAATCAAGTCCAGACATAAGTACTTTACAGAGGAGGTAAGAAAAACAAAACCTACTCTAAACGAATCAAACAGTTAAAAAGACTTGCCTACATAAACACTTAGGTTTTTGTTTTTTTTATGTCACTGAATTATACATGTAGAAACTTGAATTAGTGTATTGTGCTGTACGTATCCTCAACAACAAAAGTGTATTATGTTTCAAAAACATCAGTTTTTTAGGGCTTAAAACACCTGAAGGTAAAAAAACAAAACACTAAGGTAGGAATCCCCCCGACAGAATGGCAAATGTTACAATGACTGCTAATAGTCACTTTGGGCCACGGTAGGCAAAACATACTCTTCTAGATGACAGTGCATGTGTTTGTCCTCACATCCTTTTGTAGTAGTGACAACTTTAAAATGTGAACACTGAATGAAATTATTCTTCTATGAAGCAAAGATTTATGTATAAGGATAGTCACTGGAGTATTTTAATAATTTAACCCTGGAAATGACCTTCAGCAGTACGAGACTGAAATGATCAGAAATCAAAACAATGAAATGCTATTAAGAGACTATGTTCTTGATATGGAACAATGGCCATGAGCTGTAGCCCTGCCTTGTAGAGCTTGCAGTCCAGCTCTTCTACACGCAACTCTAGCTCAGTGCTCTTTACCCAAGAAGTACGTGCTAAAGCAGGAAATCTTATTTGTGCTTAAAAATGAAGTGTGTTGAACAGCATAGAGAATATATAGAAAAGATACCAAATTGTTACCTTTGTTAGGAGGGCAAAGAGTAGAGAATGGGAGGGCATTTTGCTTAATTAAAATGATAAATTCTCATATCACACATTTTAATTCTAGGATTTAAAAAACTTACACTTGCCATACCAACTACATTATTTTAAGGTTCTAATATATACTTTCTGCCTTGTTTATTCAAGACACATTTTTTTCCCTCCATTTCCAAAAAGATAGTCTCTGAGTCTAGTCTCCTGGGATGGGGAAGCAAATGTACTGGGGGGTTAGGTGCTCCAGGACTGGTGTTAAAAATTCATTTCAATGGCATGGTGATTTTGGAGTTCCCCTGAGGAATATACAGAAGCAATATATAATGGTCGCCGTAACTTACTTTGAATGGTTTGCCACTCTCAAATGGGAAATTACTCTGTCGTTCTTCCTTTCCCCACATATTACCCTGCTTTGTATTGCAAACAATGACTCTCCTGTTGTCCTCATTGAAGCGTGGGTTAAAGTGGAAGGCAACATCATTTCCTCTCTTGAAATCTAAAGCAATTCTGTTTTAAATCAAAGACCAGAATTAGTAACATGACTAACCATTTAAATTAATTTTTAAAGTTGGACAACACTTGCATGAAGTGAAGAACCTAATTTTTTAAAGAGCAAGTCATTTTCATAAAATACAGGCAATCTGTCTGAACAGAAAAGCAAATAAACCAGAGACTAAGTGCACATTGGAAAGTATGCCAGTGCATATATATTATTATATTATATATTACATTGTTTATATATATTATAATATATATATATTATAATATATATTATATTGTTGCTATTGTTAAGTGCCATCAGGTGATTCTGACCCATAGTGACCCCATATAGGGTTTCTGAGGAGCAGCTGGTAGGTGTGAACCACCATCCTTTCGGTTAGCACTCCAGTGTTGATTCTACAGAGCCACACCAGGACTAGATGTATTCTATGTATTACAAGGTAGGCAATATGTGATGGCTTCTTGCATCTTTGTTTCTGTCACATCCTTTCCATTCAATTATAATTCTTTCTTTACTACTTCTACTCATGAAAACCCAAGTTTCTTGGCAGAGGTTTAGAGCCACTTTGAGGACACTGCCTTACATTATAGATCTTAATGTTTACTTATTAGCTCTCTCCTGCCCTGCCAGGTTACTTCTAACAGCTGTTAAGGGGCTGTAGAATAAGCACTCGACCACAAGGTCAGTTTGAACAGCAAGGCTGGCAGTTCATGCCCACCAGTCGCTCCTTGGAAACCCTATTCTGGTTTCTATGAGTCGGAGCCGACTCGATGGCACTTAACAACAACAAAGGCAAGTCAGTGACATACTTAATGAGCTAACAAATATCTGACTTCCTTCCAGTTAACAAGAAACTTGTTCTTGTAAAACAGCAAGACTATGTTGCTAACGTTCAGTATCTTGGAATTAAATTGTAATGTCATGACAATAAATGCTTTTCACTTTCCATGATGTTATGTGGAATTAATGAGAGTGCCAGTTTAAGTTTTGACACTCTTCCTTCTCCTTCCTGTATATCCCTTCATCACTAAATCCACATGGAAAGGACCAAGACAGTTCAATGGCAGTAGGATATGCATTTGCCTAAATATCTAATAAAAACATAAGGAGGCTTCAAAAGTTTCTTGAAAAACTGGAATTTTTCCAGAACTCTGTGAATCTCTTTTGCATTTTCTCTATAGTGAAAAGGAAGATACCATCATCTCCAGCATCTTAGACCTTTCTTTTTTATATAGTTTCTCATAGAATTTGCAGGAACAAGCAACAATTTTTCTTTTTCTTTTTACCACCTAAAACTATCGCCATCAAAATTAATTTTGGCCTTCATCTCCAGGGTTATTGCAAATAAAGTTCCCAGTGTAATAACGCTACGTAACACAAAAACACCAGTGTTATTCTGTGTGTTAAGGGTTGTGACAGAACAGATATTAACACATCATGAGTACAGCATGCACAAGATAAGGTTGTGTTGGGTTGTGTGATATGTTAGGAGGAAAGATGGATAAAGACATAGGCAAGGAAGTACCTGTGCTTGAGAGATATCACATAGGCTGTAGAAAAGAAGGGCTTAGTTTAGGATAGTAACTCCCAATCAGAACCAGAAGAGGCTGGCTAGAAGTGGAGCAAATGATTGTAAGAATATAAAATTAGCAGATCAGAAACTAAGTCCTCCCCCTTGGTGACAGAGGTGGCAGAAGGTGGCTCCTACTGACAGACACTCAGGCCTGTGTGAATGGCTTGGAATGGTACCTTTACCTGCACCCATGCTAACTGATGGCTGCAGGCCCTCCAGCAATACCATTGTGTGCTCTTCCCAGGGCCAGGTTCATTAGATGGTTTGGGGAGATCCTTACCAGTGAGAGTGAGTCCGTTTCTACTCCTAGTGACCCTATGTGTGTCAGAATAGAACTGTGTTCCATAGGGTCTGCAATGGCTGATTTTCACAATCAGACCACCAGGCTTTTCTTGTGAGATACAGCTGAGTGGACTCAACCCACCAACTGTTCAGTTAACAGCAGAGCACCTTAAACATCTGCACCTTCCAGGAACTACTAGGTCTCCTCGTATTACATGCAAATATAACCAGCAGAGAAAACTGGGGCCAGGGCATCCCAGGGAAGCCATAAATTAGCAGATTTTTCTAGTTTAGCTCAGTAAACCTAACCCCATCCTAGCCCTTGTCAATCAAACCAGTTCCAAATAATAAAGTTACCTACATAGGGTCAACACTGGACTTTGAACCACAAGGTTGGCAGTTCAAACCCACCAGCTGCTCCTCAGAAACCCTATACAGGGTCACTGTGAGTCAACAGCACTTAACAACTCAGAAGACTGAGGTTCCCAGTCCTGCTGGTTACATCAGGAGAACTGGAAGCTCAGTTTTATCTAGAAAGAGGACACTAATATTCTCTGTCCTGCCTTCAGCCATGCAGATTAAGTGAGAGCCCTATTAAAATACACAACAGGATGTTACCATTTACGTGAGTGAGCTGGGCACTTAGAACAATTAGGTGGAAAGAGCAGCTGCTTAAAATCTCAGTTATAGCACCTCTTAGCCATCAGCACCACCCGGTTGTGGGACCAAAGCTCAAGGAAGTGGAAAGATTACCCTGAACTGCCTTAAAAACTCTGAAGAGGAAAGGTGTTAAGTGCTGTCCAGTTGGTTCCAACTCACAGCGACCCTGTATAGGGTTTCCAAGGAGCTGCTGATAGATCTGACTCTGACTTCAAAAGGCAAGCAACAACCCTAAAATACCAAGTTCTTGTGCAATCAGCATATTACTATTCCAAAGTGAGATGGCGCTGCCACTGAGAACAGACCAACACCACAGGAATCTGTGACTCCCTGTCACGCACCCAGTGTGAAGAGGGAAATGGCAGCAGGGCTGGACAGATCCAGGACCTGCCCAAATGCGGGGAGGTTTTTATCAGTGTGAAGACAGATTGGGAGAACAGTCAGACTCCAAGATGTACTAAGAACTAGGTCCCCGGGGATCTTTGTGGTCTGAGTGGCTACCTAGCCTAGATCTAGAAGGCATATTTGTTCTTTTAAACATGGCTCAGAGATGGAGAAATGGACAAACGTTACATTACAAAAGCTCTACTTTCCTTTCTTCTAAGGCTTTGACCACCAAGAATAATCATCTGAATGTGTTTCTGGTCTTCCTCTTAGTCTTCACAAAGTAGAACTCAAGGTGGGCACAAGTAATTGATGGGATAATCCCATACATCCTGGGTATGCTGCTGTAGGATAAGCACTAGACCGCAAGGTGAGTTTGAACTGCACGGTCAGCAGTTCAAACCCATCAGCTGCTCCTCAGAAACCCTATACAGGGTCGCTATGAGTCGGAACCAACTCAACAGCACTTAAAAACAACAGTATAGCCAAGATTCTAAATATGTAATTCTAAAAATCCTATTATAATTCAAAACATTATCTTTTATTAAAAAAATCAATGACGAGTGGCGTAATTAGGCTTGCTTTACCTGTTTGCATTGGGCTTTACTGTGCCCATAATTGTTATCAGCATGCGAGGCATGACTCCAGGCAAAGGCAGGTCATAAGGCACAGTCTGGGGATGTAAAAATATGCGTCAGTAAACAGTCATGTTTTCTTAGGGAAAGAAGTAAAAGATGTTGCTAAAGTTCAATCACTATTAAACAGGTAAATCATGTAATCCTAATCTAAGCCCTTTGTCTAGACTCTCAGGCTCCCTTACCTGAAGAGGTAAGACTCCCTATCTGCACAAATAGTTCAAACCACAGGTATGTTTGAGCATCTAAGTTCAAAGTACTATGAATATTCCTAAAGCTCTAGCTTTGGCTTCTTTGATTTTTTTTCCATCTGAATTTCTTTTGCTTGCATGGATTCAGTTATCAGTCAATTTTTTAAATCTGTAACCCCCATCTTTCCTCTTTATTGCCTCCTATCTGGATTTGCTACAGGTGCTTGGAATCTAACAGATACGAACTGCAATTGTGGACCCTGCCCCTGCCCCCTGACCTGAGTTCTCAGTTTAGGCTTTCTGTTGCTCTAGTTGCCCAGCCTTGAAAGGTCAGAGTCACCTCAGACCCTGAGAGTTCATTGATAGGGTCTTGGGAGAGGAGGACTTGTTCTTCCTCTCCAATCTCTCACACCTGCCTTTTCCTCTCCACTGCCAACAGGACAGCCTCTGTCTGCAACTGACTTACTTTCCTGCTTAGTTCAGACCCAGCACCTCTGGGCTCTGATCTACACTGACCGCTGACTGAACATAGATCAGATACTACCATATTCTGTCTTCTGTAATCTAACCCCATTTAACTATTATCTCTTTGTTCATATATGTATCTCCCAACTAGACTTAAGTCTGGAAGGATCTATGCTTGAGCTGTGTCTGGATGCCCCCACAGAGTTAAACTTTACACTTAGAATTCACTTTGAATGAAAATTCAATTTAATCCTTCAGTCACACAAAAAAATTGCAAAACCAGATTACTTCCACATTTCCTCTCCAGGCCACTGAATAGGTTATATAACTTCTCATGTGTAAGATGGAGCTAGTAAGAATAACTTGAGGGTGGTTGTTGGATTAAACAAGACAATCATGTGAAAGCATGTTGTTAAGTGTCGTCGAGTCGGTTCTGACTCAGCAACCCTGTCTAGAGTTTTCCAAGGAGCAGCTACTGAACTTGAACCACTTGACTTTACAATCCAGCACATTAACCACAGGGCCACACCAAGACGCCATGTAAAAGCATACTCAGTATTTATTAATAATCACCAAAACTTCTCCCCACTACTATGATCTTCACTTGATTACATTCACCTTATAGATTCCTTCATAAGCCCTTTACACTATCAGTACACATAATAAACTCAATGTGAACAGTCGTATTTCTACTGCACCAACATATACTGGACTCCTGATGTGGCGCTATAGGAGAAGCACTGAACTTCGAACCACAAGTTCAAACTGACCTTGCGGTCCAGCACAGTATGCTGCAGTGTCCCACTAGGACTCCCTCTATAGGGTTTCTAAGACAGTAAATCTTTATGGGAGCAGACAGCCTCATCTTTCTCCCATGGAGCAAGCTGGTGGGTTTGTACCGGTGACCCTCCAGTTAATAGTCCAGTGCTTATCCTATAGCACAAAGCTCCTGCTCCTAATCATTAAAAAGTGTTGGTTCCACTGTCCCGATAGCTATATTCTTCACTAACTGTATGCTAATCAGAGTCCTGGTGTGGCACTGTGGGTTAATGTGCCAGACTGCAAAGCCATTTGAACTGCAAGGTTGGCAATTCAAGCTCACCAGCTGCTCCTCAGAAATCCTATACAGGGTCGCTGTACTCCACAGCACCAAACAACAACAATCACAATCAAGTAAGAAACTAATTCCATCTCACCAGTGGTCCAGCAGGGGTGCCAAAGGGACCGGCAGCAGGGTAGGCTCCGGGAGCACTTGGCTGTCCAGGAGGCGGGTAGGCCCCGGGTCCGCTTGGTTGCCCTGGGTAGGCTCCAGGGGCAGTTGGGCCAGGATAAGCTCCAGGGGCAGTTGGGCCAGGGTAGGCAGCCCCCGGAGGTGCCTGGCCAGGGTAGGCGCCAGGAGGTGCCTGGCCAGGATAAGTGCAAGGAGGTGCCTGTCCGGGGTAAGCTCCAGGAGGTGCCTGCCCAGGGTAGGCCCCAGGATAGCAGGCACCTGGGTAGCTCCCGCCCCCAGCAGGCTGGTTTCCCCAAGAGGCAGGCCATCCTTGAGGGTTGGGGTTCGCAGACCCAGACACCGCATCATTAAGCTAGAAAGAAACAAACAATCAAAAGATGGAAAACATTAATAAAAACTGAATTTTTATGACGGAATATGTGATCTAAAAAGTACAGGGATACATTGAAGATGTGAAAGAAAGACTTATCAATGAATATGTGTCACCTAATAGTTCTCATAGTGTGAGTTCCTAAACTATGGAATTATATATACTCTTAAACATTCTTCTTGCCTGTCATCATTTCAGATCACGGAGGGCTGAGTTTTTATGATTTGCTGAAGCCCTGTATCAAAAAGCAAATATTTTCTAATCAACATGAGGAAAAACAGTCACACATCCCTTTGCCTAGAGTAGTTCTCAGTTCCAGCTGGTAGAATCCTCCCCCTCCCGTCCTAAACCTTTCCCATTAACAGGTGTCTCTGCCTGACATTCTTTCTAAATCTGTTGTTGGGAAACCAAGCCTCCAGCTCACTAGCCCTACCAACACAGGTGAATCCGTGGAAGTTCAAACAGGAAAGTCTGGTGATAAAAAGAGAAGCTTCACCATATGTAAAATGTATATTAGGGTAAGAAAACACACATAAAGCACTCACCGAAAAACTGTCTGCCATTTTCCTGGGGGGAAAAAAAAAGGATAGGTTACCATTTGATCTGAAAAGATTTCACCGATTCCTGTTACATTTAACGAGAAGATAGTTCACTGCATAGTTCTACTCAGTCTACAGGTATTCTATGCACACAACACTCTATTTAAAAAAAACAAAACCCTAACATCAATAGTATTGAACCATCAAAATAGTCTCATCAAGGATGGGGGTGTTCTTCAGCTACATGACTAAATCTTATTTATTTAACTCATAACTTTAGTTGGACACGAATTATACCAGCCTGTGTACTGAATCTTTGGAGTCAGAGACTCTGATACAGGAGGGAGAAGAACAAAGAAAATGCTCTCCTCCCCTTTTCCTACGTTAAAAAGTATCGACCATCATGAGTTCTCTTTAATCCTCATTCACCTTCCTTCCTGCTCTTCTTCCCCGACCCTGACACAATGTTCAGTCGGTCCGTATCACCTACCTCCCCTTAGTTCCTACTAGAGCCCCATGCCATCTTCTGGGCTTCTAGAAGAAAGCTGTGTTGGTGGTCCTGGAAGACCAGGACCACCAGGTCTTAGTCCTTCATTTGCACACATTTCTGCTGCTCTGGGCCAGGCACCGTGTAGGCTCCAGCCCTGGTATGAGGATGAAGAGGTCACAATTTGTATGGTCAAAGGCTCCCTATAGTCCAGCAAGGGTTAGGAAACGTATCAAATAGCACAATGAAAACCAATGGACGCTGTGAGTCAGGCAGCGTGCTGTGGGAATTCACAACTGGAAAGGTGACTTCTAAGGGGGAAGGAAGAGAACACTTTCACAGAGGTGTCATTTAAGCTAAGCCTTGAAGGAGAGATGTGATTTGGATGTGGATCAATGAAGAAGAAAGACAGACACAAGATGTTTGATGCTTCCTTTTTTCTTTTTTAAAATATGGTTGTCTTCCCAATGAAATCCCTGGCAATATTTAACAAAGTAAGGTAAAAAGGTTGAGTGATGTAAACACTTTGAGGTAGCGTACCACTCAAGGTAGGTTAGCCTTGCCCAAAGCCACTTCAGAGGGCGGTCCTGAAAGATGTCATTCCTGCTTCCTTTAGAGTCTCCTGCTTCTCCCCACACTGCCAAGTCTCCAAATGCAAAAGGTGGTTTACATCTGCTTTGGGGTTTTGTCAATGAGAGGAAGGGAGGCAGTTTTGGCCTCCTGACTGGGTAAGTTCTTACCAAACTCAAGATTGCCTTTGCTGCCAACAGTATCCATAACTTGAAATAATCAGAATTCCTTTTCCTGGATTTGCCTACTTCTGATATTAATACCATTATTTTAAAATAACATTGTCCCCAGGGAATTCAATGAATGGTGTCTACTTGATAGATCCAAAAAATTGTAAGAAAACTTTCTATAAAAACTCAAAGAGGCAGAGATCCTGCTAGGACACAAACCAGAGATACTATACGATCTACTACTATTTTAAAACATTACCTCTGACTTAATTTGCATGTGTTTCTTTTTGTTTTTGTTTTTTTTTAATGTTTTATTGTGAATTATGTGATAGTTTACATGGCAGAACATTAACTTTACATTCATTCTATCGTATATCCTTTCATTGCCATGGTTACAATCCCCTCCATGCATCATCAACCAACCAAAGGGTTGCAAGCCTACCCCCTGCAAGCCTTCCCCTACCCCCACCCCCAGTCATCAGCACACAGCCCCTCTCCCTCTCTGGGTCTAAAGTCCCCAGCTGCTCCATCTCTCCACATCATCGCCTCTGCCTCCATCTCTGGCATCACTGCTTCTCTGGATAGGGTCCTGCTCTCTGCTATGCTCCCTTGATGGTCCCAGGGACCTCTGCTCCTGGCCTACAAACTCAACCACTCCCCTCCTTTTGCTACAGAACGTCTACCTTTACATTTCCAACCCTCACAATCAGTCCTGATAACAAGTACTTACTATTGTTATCACAAGAGACCTATCAGTATCTCCTTTCATCAACCCCGCCTAGACAGATTGGATACTACTCAGTGGAGATTCTACCTTCCTCCATGCCCTCTGGATCTAGGTTCCCTCTTGAAAGCTTGTAAGCCAGTCACTTCTTGCCTTTGTAGCCCTCTCATTTTGGGTAGCCAATGTCCAAGTTGCCCTGTGTATGGAGGGGGTGGGAATGATCCTCACTATAAAGATTTGTTCCCTCTTTTAAGCTACTGCATCCATAGGTATACATCAAGTTCATCAAATTGTATCAGATTACTGTTTTTTTTCTTCTTCTTTCTTCTAGTTGAGCTCTGATCATCAGTCATTGAAGCCAGGTCAAGTGGGTATTATCTGCAAGTGTGGGTGTTCTTATGCATATGCCCTCTCTTCTTATCAGCTGGATGCTTCACTCTCCACTCTAGTCCTCTGTGGCTATGTTACTGACTCTGGGCCCAAGAGTCCCCAGGTTTTCCCACACTGTTGGCCAACCAGGTCTCCACCCAGGTTCACAGGAGTCTATTGAACATTGTAGGGCTTAACTTGCAGCTTCATTGCAGTTTTTCCTCACTTCCCCTTATCAGTGATGAACGAGGTCACCAATCAGAGGGCATGTCTACTCGTGTATTCCCATTGAGTCTTGGTCTTGGATGGGGGTTTGCCCTGAGGGGACCTGACCACTTGTCTTGATGAGCTGCCTGGGTGAGCAACTTGCTTGTTCTTGTAGTAATCTGTCAGACTGCCTATATTGTTTTGTATTTTTCCTGTTGGTCTTTCTTTCGAGAAGTATCTTCTGTTCTTCTAGCCGCTCCAGACTGGTTTTCTTGTCCTTTCAAGTGGAAATTTCCCACCTTAGAAGATTCTGCATGTAGTTCAGGATCCTAACTATGGTCTTATGTAATGCAGAGGCTCCATAGGAAGCCTCCTTCACTGGGCATGCTGTAGCCCCATTTTAGGTATTCCAATCAGTTATACGCAAAAGATGGACTTACAAGCTTTCTATGGTGATATTTCTGACTATTCCTTTCTCTCCCCCTCAAGTGTCTATTTTATAATGGTATGCCAGGGAAACCAAGATTCAAATGACAGTCAAGCATCTTAACATTGTTTCCCCCCATTCCCCATTCCAACCATGTCTCAATCCCTGTATTGCAGAGTCCTCTTTTTCTAAGGTTGTGCATACATCATTATTTTCCTCTGTCCCATTTAGCTCATGCAAACCTGCCTAATTGTTTTCCCGTCTGCCTTGTTTCTCCATTCCCCTCCCCATCTTGTGTATTGCCCCCTCCCTAGCACCCAAACTATCTTGTGTCTATTCCCTACCCTCTGCTCCACCTTCCCCTTCCTCCCCTCACCCAACCTCCCCCCCCACCCCCTTGCATCCTGGTAACCAGCAAGGATCCCCCCACACGCACACCTTTAGTATGGCTTCTTTTTCTTACTCTTTTACAGTAGTGGTCCTATACAGTATTTCTCCTTTTGTGAATAATTTCACTCAACATAATGTCCTCAAGATTCATCTATGTTATGCAATGGCTTGCAGCTTCCTTGTTACTCTTCAAGGTAGCATAGTATTCCATTGTGTGTATGTACCACAGTTTGTTTATCTATTCTTCAGCTGATGGGCACTTAGGCTGTCTCCATCTTTTTGTGTCAAGCATGTTTTGAAGTCACTAAGTTATCATCATGTTCCTCTTACAAGGAATGCTTCATGAATTTGCATGTCATCCTTGATCAGGGGCCATCCTCATCTTCTCTGTATCGTTTCAATTTCAATATATGTGCTGCCTAAGTGAACACTCAATATTTCTTATAGCACTTGAAGTATTAAAGCACAAGTTAGGGGTTTCTAGACTTGTGCCTCCTTCCCCCAAAAGTCTGCCACTCCCTAGAATACTGTTGATAATTCAGGAGGAGGACCTGGCGAGATGCATTGGCATAGAAATGAAGGAGAATTCCTTAGGTGAAGAAAATAAACTCTTTTTCGTTTTGGAAGATAGCTGGAAATCATCTTAAACTTCAGGATGGGCGGTGAACTTAGTTTCTTGCATGGCACAAAGGCATCTTCACTCCCAGGTAATATACCAAGGACCCAGTTCTGACTTCATTTCAATAGCTTCATGGCAGAATGACTTATTCTCAACCTCAGCACCACTGGTACTTCCGGCTGGATAACTTACATTGTAGGGGGCTGTTCTGTATATTGTTTGACAGCATCTCTGGTTTCAAAATACAAGTTGGCAGTTGTGACAACCCAAGTGTCTTCAGATAGTGCCAAATGTTCCTGTGGGACAAAACTGCCCTGTGGAGAACCAGTGGTCTAGGTGGATCTGCATATGTATCTTTATGTAAATGTACATACAGAGGTCAGTAACAAAAAACTAGTTTCCATTGTGAAAACTAGCCAAATTTGTGTCATTGGTCTCATAAATTGTCTTATTACCATAACTACAATCAAACTGATGTATGTTTAAAGGCCAATTACAATCAGACACTCCCAAAAGAGGGTATTCCCCAAATTCTACTTTTATTACTTTCAAAGCTTTTGCTCAAGAATTTTCAATTTGTTCTTAACCCCACATACACAATTTGAGAAACATAGCAGATTTCACTTTATTTCCACTGTTTGACAGTGGAATGGGTTGTACTGTGACACATTAGATTGTACTGTGACACATTAGACAAGCCCATTAGAATACACCCTGCATTTGTGTGGTACTTTTCCACTTACAAAGCACTTTCTCATACTTTACCTAATTTGATTCTGGTAACAATCCCATGACACTGACAGAAGAAAACAACTATTCCCACTTTATAAGTGAGGGAACCAAGCTTCCTCATTGGCCAAAAGTCATGCTGCCTGTCTGTTGAGCAAGCTCTTCTACAAAAACATAATACATTACGCTTTGAGATTTGAAAGTATAACCTTTTGAAAGTGTTCATTGTTTTATTAAGCTATTAAATCTCTGGCTTATTCACCAAAACTATGCAACAGGCTGAAACTATAAACAAACTTTAAAACAAACTGTTATTTTTGTCAGAAAACTAA